GCCAATCGGTTGGTTCCCTTAGTCAGCCGACTTCAAGCTAGTCGACCAACCAATTACTGATGACATAAAATCTATAGAATCAAATAAAATTTTAATTATATTAAGTATGATTTTCATAATCATTTCCTTCTTTTTGTAATTGTACAAACACGTCTTTATAAGTACGAAACAAAAATACGAATAAAGGAACCTCTCTCTCAATTTTTCCGACAAAAATTACAGACTTATTATATTCTTTTTTTCTTATCTCGTTCAATTGGCTCTAACTCTCGGGGGTTGATTCACAAAACACAAATTAGAATCCAACATGTTGGAAGTCTACTTAGCTTTATTTCTGAAGCTACATGGCAAAAGTAGCAAGGGAAACCCTTCACTCCCGCAGAGAGCTGTAAAGGTAAAGAGAGAGAGAGAAAGTGAGAGAGAGGGGGGTGGGGCTGAGGAAGAATCGAAAGCTGAGAAGGTGACGTCATCCACTTGAGAAGCAGGCCCTTCATTCCATCAACCCACGCGCAATTGAGAGAGCTGAGGACTCCTTTTATACTCCTCACACTCTTCATTCTCCTTTTACTTTCCTAACTCTTCTGCTCTCTCTCTCTCTCTCTCTCTCTCTCAGCTTTCTCTATCAGAGTTATCTCTCTCATTCATCCAGAATTCCAAGCGTTGCAAAAAGGATTGCTGGTTGTGAAAATTTAGAAGGTTAGTCTCATAGCTTGAATGTTCTTAATTGACCTTTTGTTTTGATTTATGGTTGTCTTAAAGATTTTTTAGATTTAAGTTTTTAGCGGTGAGCTTCTTGCTAGCGTTTAATGCCAATTTATTTATTTATTTCTTCCTTTGATTCTGTTGTTAATTGCAGAAGATTTTTAAGCTTTGAGATCTGACTCTCACTGTTTTAGAAATGAAAATATTCTGAATTATTTCGATATCCTAAGTTAAATCATCATTATTTTCATGGTTTGATAATTTTCCAAGGGATTATGGAAGGTTAAGAATGTTTATGATAAGAACCATATGGATTTGTACATGATTTGTACATATTACCATTTAGTCACAAAGTGATTTGATCTCTTGTATTTCTTTCTTCTTTCAAAATTGTCTCTATGAGATTTGACTTAGTTTTAATTGCTATAGAGTTCTTTTTTTTTTCTGAAGTTCTACTTGCCATCATATAACAATTTCTGCATAAAGATTTCATTTTATTAGCACCATTATAGTTTAAGAAATCAGAATTTTAGTCTTTTTTTGTCGCATTAATTAAAAATATATGTTAAATCTTCCAGTTTTCATACAAATTCTTTCTTTAATTAATTCCTTCTAACAAAGAAGTTATGAACTTCAGCCAAAATTAACTGTCTCCGAGACAAAAAAAACTCCAACATATATAAAACATTCAAAACAGCCGATCGACAGAGCCTCCTTTCTCTATCTTAAAAGCTGAATAATTTATAAGAGACTTCACTTAAGAGGGTGCATGATATATTATTCTTATCAGCTCAGTACACACATCTTGTGCCCTCCAAGTCTTTCTAGCCTTCTATCTAATTATTTAGTTGATCTCTTGTAACGCTCATTTAATGGTAAACATAAATAAGAAGAAGATAAATCAAAATCATACAATTATATAATATGGTAATTGATAGAGTAAAATTGTTCTATACCTGTAGCAGATCTTGTCAACACATTATTGTTGATGTTGTTTATAAAAATAACATATCTATATGTAGAAAAATGCATTTTATTATCAGCTTATTTTGAGATATTTGTATGATTACCCCCCTCATAATTATGCCTTTTTGCAAAACTTAATCATAACTTATAAATTAATACGAACAAAAATGTATTGTTTTATGTTTTTTTAATTTATAAATTATTATAATTAATCTAATTTTCAAAATCGTGCAAAGAATATTACTGCATTCCAAGTAAAATTCATATATACATATAGAATAATATCATCATATCATAAATGATTTTAATATTATTGTCTAAGTTTAAAAGATCATGAAAAAAATTTAGGATTAGTTGCATTGCAAGTAAAATTCATTGAACTATTTATTTTATCCATAAATTTGTATATAATTGTGTATAAATATTATATATATGACCTACTTCTATTAATATGATTCAATAATGGGTGTGGGGAATGTTGAAAATAGGTTGATTTTATGAGTGCATGTATCAAGCAATATTATTGTACATTTGAGTATATATCGTTTTCAAAGTTCATTTCTTTGTCAAGCCATTGGAAACTAACTTCTTCAGAGTATATTGATCAATTTGGACATAATAATTTTAATATTTGAAAATTAGTGTTTTATGATCAATATAATATTACGGACGAATGAAAACTCATCCAGATATATATACATTTTTATCTTTCTTCTTCCTATACTCGAATAAGATAGCTGGTGCTGTTCGTTGCTTTGCTTTCTCTTTCACTGCGTCGTCTTCCACAGAAAGTAATTAGTTATTTTTGGAGGGATGAGAGGTGGACAACTATGCCGTGGAAGAGGTGGACAAAGAGACAAAGGGATCAGAAAGAGTGCAGTGCTGGTAGGGGATGATTATCCTTTGTTGCTTCCTTTTTATAGCTTTTATTTTTCTATGAGGCCTGGAGATGCTAGCTAGCCTGATCATCCAACAAATAAACTACTGTACGTAGTTATATAAATGTAATAGTTTTTTTTTTTCTCTTTTTATTGTGTGTGTGTGTGTGTGTGTGTGTGTGTGTGGAAGAGGTAATCCCCCACGTCTTTTTGGCTTTCAGCGCGTGCTCTCTTTCATAACAGTCTTCATGCACCCACTTTTGTCCCTTACTCTTCCCAGCTTCTAATATAATCTTCCCTTTTCTTCCTGCTCTCTCTCTCTCTTCTTCTTCTTCTTCTCAAGAAATGTCTGAGAAAATAAACATTTCACCATACATGAGAAGTTGTCCAATTATGAGAGGCTATATCACTATATATGAGCATTTACGTGAATGTGACCTCCCATAAATGAAAGTGAATGTAATATTTCTCACTTACTGTATAAAAGAGCTTATATATATATATATATATATATATGATTTTGTAAAAAGCTATGCTTACGATATGCAATTAAGCAAATTGAACACTTTTCATATCAATTTACGAACTGCGTCTTGATTTAATAGTTGGTATTTCATTTTTACTTTTGATATAGTAGTCTTATTCATTGTCATTTGCAACAAATGAGTTATGTACAGCGAGAAATTTAATGTTGTCTTTAATAGGTTTAGCCCATTTAATGATCTTGTGCAGGCCCCTCAAGGGTAATTTTATCCTAATTCTTCAAAAATCACTGGAAAAAAAAAATTATCTTAATTCTTACTAACTAGGTGCTTGCCTGACTTGAGAAAAAGAAGCCGGCATCCATCCCTTATATGTGTCTTTCTATGTAATAGATTTTTTGCCTCTCTTTAATATTAAATATTTGTGGATATAATAATATTCTATCAAAAAACAATTTTAAAAAACATAGTAATAATTTGATACTATTATGGCTATATTAAATTATTGTGCTGACTTTATTGTTTTAGAGAACACCTTCAAAGGAATAACTTTCTAATATAAAAAATGGCATTTGAATATAGAAACCAAAGTGAAATATAAATATATTAAGCTTTTTTAGAGAATATTTATCTTTAAATTTGATTGTTTTGAGTTATTGAAGATTTAATTGACTAAAACAAACTACTCTCTTCATACTGGTGATATTGAGTAGTACTTTTTAATGTCTTGATTGATCATAGTGCATGGTTCAATTTATAATTTGAGGAATGATCACTGCGATAGACACTTTATAAATCCAACATATTTAGGTGTATTTTTATTTATAAATTTATTTATCAATATCATCATAATTTCTTATATATACACACACACACACACGCACACACACACATATAATGATGTGAGAAGCATTACTCTAATTTTAATTGAACAAAATCATTTGAATTTTCATCCATATAAAATAACGATTCATTATAATTTTATAGAATAGTTATTCATCACAAAATACAAAAAAGGGTGTGGGGATAGGGCTGTCAAAACGGTTCATTGTTCGCGAACAACTCGTGCTCGTGTTCGGCTCATTAATTTCGTTCGATAAGTTAACGAGCCGAACACGAACTAAGATTTGTTCGTTTGTGTTCAGCTCGTTTTGGCTCGAAATACTACTCATCAAGTTTATATATATATATATATTAAAAAAATCTAATTGACTACAAGGCTACAAAGATTTATAATCAATTAAAATATTGATTAAGAAAATAGAATAAAAAATTTTAAATTAGATTCATTAGATTCTAAATTAGATTCAACTGATGTTTTAATATAAATAATAATTTTTAAATCTTGCTCAAATAATTATTGTCTTATGGCTATATTATTAGGGTTGTTAAAATGACTTTTTGTTCGTGAACAATTTGTGACAAACACATTTTTTTAGCTTGAAATATAAACGAGCCGAACATGAGCGAGCACATGTTTGGCTCGTTTACACCCCTATGTGGGGATTCCAAGTATTAACATCATAAATAATTCAATCAAGTAGAATTGATTGTTATGTATGTAAATCTTCCTATTTTCTATATTCTTTGAATTATTATTTGTAGACTAATCGAGCACATGCACGGACTTGAAGAATCATTACACCATCCACCTTCAGAGACAGCATCATTAGCAGGAACTGCACACCTTGTCCCTAACTCTTGTTCAGACCTGCGCAGCAGCAAAAATAGCTCGAGCTTAGAAGCTCCTAAGATGCCATTAATTTTTGTCAAAATTTGAATAAAGGAATTCCTATAATAATATTATGAATTGTCACTTATACATCCTTATAATCTTTTAATTCAGAAAACCATATTATTGCTTTCATATAACTTGCTTTGAGTTCTTTTGAATTTCCCAGTATAAAAACAAGATCTTTAAAATGAGAAATTTTATGAATTTATTCTACTGATGAACTTGGTGCAGTCCAATATGGATTCCATAGAATCGTGTGTTCCTCCTGGCTTTCGTTTTCATCCAACGGAGGAGGAGCTGGTTGGCTACTACCTCAAAAAGAAGGTGGCCTCTCAAAAGATTGACCTTGATGTCATCAGAGACGTTGATCTTTACAGAATTGAGCCATGGGATCTCCAAGGTTTCAATTTACTTATAATGTTTTAAATATTTCAATGAAACGTGCATGTATTCTTAGTTATCATATTTATGGTTTATCTGAACTTATCAGACTGTTGCCGTATTGGTTATGAGGAGCAAACGGAGTGGTATTTTTTCAGCCACAAGGACAAGAAGTATCCGACAGGCACAAGAACTAACAGAGCAACAATGGCGGGATTTTGGAAGGCAACGGGGAGGGATAAGGCTGTTCATGATAAGAAGATGCTCATAGGAATGAGGAAAACACTAGTGTTTTACAAGGGAAGAGCGCCTAATGGACAGAAGTCAGACTGGATTATGCATGAATACAGGCTTGAGACTGAAGAGAATGGGCAGGCTCAGGTACTTAGAAGCTTCATTGTCACCCCTCCTTTCTTTTTTCCTCTTGTTTTTAAAGTAAAATATATTATTATAATTTATATTTGGTATTTGTTTTTTAGTTTTTAAAAATTATTTAATGCTAATTAGGAGGCATTAAAACATATAAATTTAAATATTCGCTTGCACGCTACATGATTGCAAAAGTCATGATTGTAGGTTGATGATCTAAAGCATATAGTTTAAGTGTGAATGGAGACTTGGACTAGTGGTTCATAACTTTGCTTATATTTTTTAAAGTTAAGTGTTAGTTTGAACCCTTATTCATTCATTTAGTTTTTATATATTGAAAACAATTTAAGAGTATTGTCCATTATTTCCTATATCTAAAAAGTTATCCCCTTCAATATTTGTTTGTGTAATGGACTTTGTGCCTCCTTAATATATTATCTATGAAATAGATTTATATTTAGAAAAAAATATATTCAACAAATAATAAACCATTTCTCGAACTTTTAGCTAGTCACTATTCTTCGAAATAAGAATGATATTTATGTTGATTTGTAGCCAAGAGCTAGCTCAAGCTCATTAAGTTTCATGCTCTTTAATTAAAGGTTGATGTTCGAGGCTTCAATTTAGTCTATAAATTATGTAAATAGAATTTACTTAATTAAATGTATCAAATTAGATTGGTGATTAATTTTATGTCCATATATATATATATATTGAAATTAATCTCGTGTCCACATTATTTATAAGTGGCCTTATACCTTTAAAAAAGGTTTTCAAACAACATAACAATACTATTTTCTAACAGTTTGCTAATTGCATTGTAAAAATTGACATAAAATCCTCATCATAGCAAGATTCTTATGGAAAGGGACCGTTAATTTAACTTCAATTTCCTTATTTTCATAAATAGTCAATGCTTCTCATACTTAGAAAGCCAACATACTTTTTATATATTTATTAATCATATTATTAAACCATTTGAGATTAAAACATAATTCCCTTGTGAAAATGAAATTGAAGTTAAGTTCTTATGGTTGTAGTACTGATTCCCCTTAAGTTTATAGTTTAAGTGATGTTCATTAATTAATTTATTCGATTCAACTGAAACCCTCTAGTTTTCCAAACACCTAGTAATATATATTGAAAGCAATTGTTTGTTGGAACCCAATGATTAACATATTTCTTTTCTTACAGTAATCTTGGTGACCTACCATAATATCAAGAAAGGCATAAGGAAAGTAGCACTAGTATTAGTCTCAAACTATTAAATATGGAAGATTAAATTTTAGATTTATCAAGTTAAAACATAAGTATTATTTAAATAATCATTCTCATTGAAAATTTAATAATAAGTGGATTGCATAGTATCAAAAAACATTATGATCATTTGATCGATCATCAATCAAATGTAAAAAGATTTTACAAAACTGACTACTTGATCAATTCAATGATAAGATTTAGTAATCTTAATGCATATTGGGCTTCAAAAACCTCCTTCCATTGCTAACTTTATAACACATTATTCTTAAGCCTTTATCCTAGCTAGACCTATACTCGGGTTTTATTTGACAGTGGTAATATTCTTTCAAATATTGCAAGTCATTCTCCTTCTTAGTTGTAAAGGTTTATATTATGCATTCTATTGTGTTTTCATTGTTGAGCCACTAACTAATTTTAATTGCTCATTTGCCTTTTTTTTGCAAAGTGAGTCTTGGACAGTCTACCATAAATATTGTCTATGCCAATATACCCATTATCCACTAAGGTGATTATGACCTAAGCTCTTGTGAATGTCTTCACTAGTTTATTTTATTTAACCATATTGAATGAAATTGCCTCAATATAGTATGACATCTTTAAGTGGTATCAATAACTTCTTTATCAATTTTGATCTCTTTTGTTAGAATTTAGCGAGCTTATTGAATTAGGAGCTTGTTCCTTAATAGAATTCATAATCTTATTAAGGTTTTCTCTCATAAGAATAATATATTATTCATATTTTTTCTTCACCTCTAGAAGTGAACTCCTTCATTTAATTCTAAATTTGAAACCTAATATCTCATGTACATTAGTTTATCTTTTCCTGGACTCCTTTTCAATTTTAAGTATAATTTTTTTGTTTCTTAAAAATTTAATTCGATCTTTGGTAAAATCATAATCTTAGATGATTGCTAATTTATTGGCTAGCCCTTAGCGTTTTGATTAAGAAGAATGTGACAAGTATATTTCAGTAAACTATATGAACCTCTATTAAGGAAGATGGCTCTTGGCAAGTCGATATTCTATTAAAAGGCATTTAAAATTAGTTTTTTATTTTAACTCAGTCAATCAACTCATTTAATCTCAATTATTCTCATTATACAAATTGCCTCATTTTGCTTTAAATCCCTCATTATCTTATGGATTCATCCTTCTATTAACCCTATTTTTATAGTGTAACTTATCATCTTTATGATTATCCTAAATGATTGAAGCTTGATACTTAACCTACCAATAACTTTATTAGAATCAAGTTATATTTAACTCTATGACTCGGGCTTAGCGAAGTGGTTCATAACCCTATTTTTGCGCTTGTTGCCTCTCTTTGTAGCCAAAATTTGGACTTTTTTAGATATATATCATCTGGGAATAGTATACCTTAAAAATTCAATTTGACTCCATTTTTTGCCATTTCTTCAGTTTTACCTTTTGGAATTTATTTTTGAACTACGTGTTAAATTTATTATTTCCTCATTTTCGTGTCTTCCTCCATGACAAGCTACTTTAAGGAAATCTGTCCTGCGAGGGAAATTTTCTCTTCATATTGTTCCTCTCTCTCTCTCTCTCTCTCCTTATTTAAAAGGTTTATTTTTTATGGCATCAAAATTAAATATAAGTTTAAGAAATAATTTCTTTAATTGTGGAGTATGATTGTAACTTTTTGGTGAGCTTACAACTCATAAATTTAGCTAGCTTTTACCATACTATCTAAGAGAATTATTGGATATAATATTGTTAAGACATAATGTTTTATATGTTGTTTTGCTATCATTTTAGTTGGAGAAGTTATTTGTTACCTTTAAATTTTTTATAACTAACTCTTTAATATTATATAATACATATAAAATCTAAACCCTCTTAAACAAAAAAAAAAAAAAACTCTCAAAATAATTAATAATAGTTATATTTTCATTTAATAATCATATTTATAATCATTTTAAAAAATGTTACCAGAGACAAGTTATAAGTTTAAATACGTGCCAACTTTTAATTTGTTATTTCCTCACCCTTCCACATAATTAAGTTTCATCTTACACTGCTGCTACAGTAAATTGATAGATAATATCACTTTAGATTATGAACCTTTTAAAAAAGGGAGCTTTACGGAAAACCAAATGTTGGTTTTACATGAGCTTCTTTTGTTTATGTGGGAACAAAGATAGCGTCAAACATTCCCCACAGCTTTATCTTAGAAAATTTCATAGGTGAGAGCGCATGCCACTTTTATAAAGGTGTTCCATCCATGCCATTCCTTTTATGTCTCTGATGTTGATCATTTAGTCAAAATCTTAGCTCATCCATCCTTTTCATGTTTTAGCAAAAACAAAAAATAATAAAAATATATATGTTTATTAAACCCGCAACCAAACTTTGGTCACTTATGTTTAAGGGTTTCGGAAACAATAACAATATTGCTTACGTGTGTGCATGTCCGGACAACAAATCAGATTCGTGGAGGCCACCATGCATTTTGTTTTCTACGAACCGGATCCGTTGTGCGTATGTAATATTTTCTCCTCAACAAATGTATATTGTTGAAAGATTAAGGCAGAATGAACAGTCACGAGTTGGTATAACATGGAACTACAGCATGTGGATATACATTAATTCATACATTGAGCAAGTTGCAAATTTTGCATAGATCCTTACTCCAGTCCTCAACAAAATTCACTCAGAAAATTAAATTACCCCATTTGAAAGAAAATTGATGAAAAAAACTTAGACCATTGACAGATAAATATCAAATAAATTCATTTACATGGAGAAGTAGATATTATATGGGAATTAAGACTAAAAATTCATTAACGATAACTTAAAATATTTAGATAAATACCCCTAATGGATTTTTTATGCCTTTAAATTTTATTCTTTTGCTCCAACGGATCTTCTTTCCAGGAAGAAGGTTGGGTCGTCTGCCGAGCATTCAAAAAGCGCACCAACGGCCAAACAAAAAGCTTCATTGCCCACTGGGACTCCAACTACAACATCTTCCCCAACCCCAACACCAGACTCCACACAACCTTCATCGATCAACATCCCAACATTTCTAATCCCCATCATCTAAATCCCAAAGATTTCTTCTTAAATCAGGAAATGGTACTCCCAGGCGGACTAACAAAGCTGCTTCAGTGCCCCAACGCCTTCCTCCAACTTCCACACCTCGAGAGCCCTCATCCCTTTCCGCTCATAAAAACTTCTTGCAGCAGTTCTGTTTCTGTTAATGCCGGTTCGGTGCATGAGAAGGAGGGGGACAGAGAGGGAAGTTGCGCCGGCGATCAGAGAGTCACTGATTGGCGAGCGCTGGACAAGTTCGTGGCGTCGCAGCTGAGTCGAGAGGATGGTTTTGTTGGAGATTGTGAGGCGGGAGAGAATGGTTCGGAGATGGCGTTCCTATTGGTTGATGATGGGGGAGAGGAGGAAGGGAGGATGAAGGAGAGTTGTGTTGGTGATGTTGGATTCTGCGTGTTCGAGTAGTAGAGTTGCAGGAGCAGGTGATGCAAGAAGAGGTTTTTTTTTTCTTGGTTGAATTTCTTTTTTAATGTTTGTGGTTGGTTGTTGTAATTGGGTTATTTTCCTGTTGAGTGAGAAAGAATTGAATGAGCTCTTGTTGAAGCTGATTTCAGAGAAGATATATATAATTGTACTTTGCGTGAAAATTGGTCATGAATTTTATGGATAGTTTCATGTTCATTATCTGTATTATAATATTGTAGCTGTTGCATGAGCTCTTCTTATTAATAGAAGTAACCTAATTAATGGCCTCAGTAGCCAATTTAGAAGTGAGTATTTGGTAACCATTACAGTCAGTATAAAGAGGAATCACTCTCTTTTTTGAGGAGATACAGACTGTTTGTATAAATTAGAGGGGGGCTACGAGAGCGAATAATAAAATGATATTTCAATAGAGATAAAATTAATATTTCAAGAGGGTCAAAATGCTAAATTGTTCTCTCAAATAAGTAAAAATCTGAATTTGAAGAGGTGGCAATTGCCTTCTTGGACTCTTTCTGAGTCCGCCTCTGATTATTAGTAAGTAAATCAATCTAAAGTAGTGTGATATACAGTATGTAATAGGAAGATTTGATGACATACCACTAAATTCTTATGTATTTACATAGCTATCGCCTAAACTTCAATTTTTACATATGTGAGCTTACATTTACATGAAAGATGGGTGTATTTTTTTCTAATAGTTGAAATTGGCATGGTATTTGCTACGTGATAAGAAAGATTTGGGTGCATGTTATAGATATAAAAAATAAAATTTGGGTGCTAGATATGTAAATAACTAGGTATTGAATGATATGTATGTTCATGCCCCTATACAATATATCCAGGATACTGACATGTGCATGAGGCACATGTCAACATATCATGCACATATATAATTTTAAATGCTTATTTCTAAATATATTAATGAATAATTAACTATTTACTAAACTATATAATTATTAATAAAATTTCTTTAACTAATTTTTAATCAAGCAATACTAGTTTTCAAGAATTAATGATTAAATAGTTATTTATTAAATGAATTAGTAATTAATTAAATTTAAATATGAAATTTAATTTTTTATTAATCAGTTATAAATTGTTACGCATAAATTTATATCATTATAATTAGCTTGGTACTACTTTCATTAATTACTAATTTTTAATCAATTAAACTAATTAAAATTAGGATGATTTACTTACATACCACTTAATTCTTATATATTTACACTTACCAAAATTTCAAGTTTTGCATAAAAAGGAATGCTTCACTTTTTAAAAATAAAAATGATGAAATTTTTCGTGTGATATGAAAGATATATGTGATATAAATGTAAGAAAGTTAAATTTAGGTGGCAGATATGTAAATTCATAGGAATTGAATGGTCAGTGTGCAAATGCCCCTTATTCTCGCTTCCATTTCTTTCGCCCTGTACCACTTCTAGGGGTCATGCTCAACTCGTGTTCGGCTCGTTTATATTTCGAGCTCAAAAAGTGTGTTCGTGTTCGGCTCGTTTGCTTAACGAGCCGAACACGAGCTATTCACGAACAAATAATCCTTTTAACAATCCTAATCATGTAGTCATAAGACATAAGAAAATAAAAGTTTGAGCAATATTTAAAAATTATTATTTATATTAAAACATCATTTCAATCTAATTTAATAATTTTTATTCTATTTTTTTAATCAATATTTAAATAGATTATAAATCTTTGTAGCCTTGTAGTCAATTAGATTTTTTAAAATACTATATATATATATATAAACTTGATGAGTAGTATTTCGAGCCAAAACGAGCCGAACACGAACGAACACACGAGCTTCTTGACGAGTAGAACGCGAGCTGTTCGCGAACAACGAGCCATTTTGACAGCCCTAACCACTTCGTCTACGTTCATCCTCCTCACTCCTCAGGAGAACGATACAATAGCGGTACAGTCGCAACTGGAGCTAGTTAAGCAGGCAACGATGGGGTACCAAGATCTTCGAAACTCTCGCATAACTCACCTTTCTACTCCGCTCTTACCCCAATAACCCTCGTCTTTCTCTTCATCCTCTCACCCCCCCTTCGCGCGCTTCAGCTGCTTCATGTCCCATAAATCCACCTTCCAACGGGATTTACTGAATCCGAGATTTAGTGCAAAACGGAGGCGAAACGGGATTCAAGTTCTTGTAGGATTTTAATTTGTCATTTTTTTTCTGTTTGGCAGGATTTAAATCCTCTGCTACCATACAGTCCCGTATTGTTTATTTTTAAGTTTGTTGACAACCATAAGTAACCATCCAGTTCTGGCAAATCTTATCTTCCCAGGTGATTTCATGAAGTCTACACCAAACTCGAGTTGCTATCTTCTATGCCTTTTGAATCACAATGGAGCAAATCTTCATTATAATGATACTCTTTCTCATTAAGAAGAATATTTTGTATTCTTTTGTATTCCTTATTTTGTCTCCTTTTCTTGTTTATAAATAGGTTTTGGTATATGTTGTATATTAATTACAGAACATATATCAATTTATCTCATTTTTTGTTATTTTTTCTATCCATTATTCTAGTGCTTTTTCAAGAGGCTTATGGATCTCATCTATGATCAGAGATGATCTGCTAATCATTTTTCTGCAGCAAGGTAATAATAGTTTAATTCTGCTCTTGCAAGCTAAAGAATATGGATCTACAACACCCAATTGTAGACATAAATTCCAAGAGGATTGTGAAATATCAATGTGGTTGCAGAACTGAATTCTTGTTGCAGGATATCTCAAGAGCTTAGTTGAGTGCCTCCATCCAGCAATTTTGTTGCAAAAGAACAACTTGATTAATGTTTGCCATTAAAATTGGTCAGTTTATTGAGCCCGTTTGGCTAATATGCACCATTATGCTTTCACTACGTTTTGTAAGATTGAAATTCATGGTTAAAGATGGATTGCGTTATCTTTTCTTCTCGGGGAAAAGGATGGAAGCTTTCATGCAGCTGTAAGCTAATTCTTAAATTGCTGCTATGATATCTTTCAATTTTTGCTTTCTGATTTTGATTAACTTTAGGACAAGAGGTGCTCAAGTACTTTGTACTCATGATTGCCCAAATTAATAGATATAAGATAGACATGCCAACACATATGATTATTAGATAGCCATAACCAACACATGGAAGGAAGAATATGTTACTTGATTTGATAGGTGACCTATTTCCGGAGTAGATATTCAGTGGTTGTCACATACTTGTGAGTGGCAAAAGTTATATGAAAATGTTATAGAAACTTTGGATGCTTAACAGCCTCCATGAGAGCATAGTGTTCTTGGGTCACTCGTTGTTCTATTTTGTCTCTTTCTCACTCTGATAGAGAGGTAACACCTCTCAGCCTTCTTGTTTTTTATGCTTACGGAGAATGATCATAGAGTGTGAAACTCACCTGATCCATTTCAGCACGTCCAAGAGGATTGAGCTGAGACCTATTCTCCCTTCTTATTGAATCAAAATTTGTTCGGAGACATCAATGGGCTCAAATGTACGCATTCCTCTCAATGTATTTCGAACTACTAGGTCTTAATGGCAAGTTCTGATCTTCATGTTGTATCAATGTCCCTAATCCTATTTTCCCTGCTCAAGCAAACTCCCTAGACCAGTTCAGGCTTAATTAAATCACTTTGGTCGAGTACTTAACATTTGAATTGCCCCTTATGCTGTTGTCTGTATCACTAATGGATCTACATATATATATATATATATATATATATATATATAAGAATAATAAAAAACCTCTGTATATTGTGTATAGTTAGCAGACTTTTTTTGTCCCAAGGGGGGCGGGGTCAAACCTTTTTAAATGAAGAGAAAAGAAATTTTTTGTTTCGAGATGTTGGGCGAGCCAGAAATCGGGCCCACCGGCTTCTGGTGTTTCCTGCGGGCCCAGGAAGCATGCCATTGGGCAAGCCTGCCGACTTTCGTTGCTCCTTGCGGGCCTAGGCTAGATGCGAACCGACGGGAGATGGGCCGACACAGGAACCTAGACCGATGTTGGGAGCCCGACCGTGGGAGCTTCCGAACCACATGATTTGGGCGAGAATAGTGAATTTTGAACAAAGTTTCTCATAAATGGAGCAGGCTTGGCAGCCCAAATGATGGAGTTTAAGTAGATTTTTCTTCTTTTTTTAATACAATTATTTTTAATGCTTTGCTTCCTCTTAAGCTTTAAATAGAGGTCACGGATGAGGGAAATAATCACAAGTGAGCAGAATGAGGAGGAGAAAAAAAGGAAGAGTGGAATTTCATTGATTCGTTGGTGGCCAATCAACGTCCTAAAAGAAGAAAGTCTTCTATGTTCTGCGTAACAGGATCAACAAGATTTTCTTTCTAGTTGCGGTGCAAAAGAAAGTCGCCCTCGTCCTGCATAGCAAACTATCAACGGGATCTTCTTTGATATTGCGCTGCAGAAGAAATATGTCCCCTTCTCGTGTATTAGACGATCAACAGGATCTTCTTTTGTGTTGCAGCGCGAAAGAAAGTCATTCTCGTCTTGCATAGCAAATGATCAACGAGATCTCACTCTATGTTGCGGCCCAGAGAAAAGTCGTCATGTCCTGCGTAGTAGGTGATCGAAGGGATCCTCTTTCTTGTTGCAGTGCAAAGAAAGATATTCCCATCCTCCGTAGCAGACAATCAGCGGGACGTGCTTTTGTGTTTCAACGCAAAGAAAATTCATCCTCATCATGCATAACAAACGATCAACAAGTTCTTTTTTTTATATTGTTGTTGCGCATTCCAGTAGATATGGAAAAATGCTACAGTTTTTTCGCCACACTTTGAGATTTAGATTTTCATAATTCTGTGGTGGCAATATCTGAAGACCCCCTGAAGATTAGCAGAAGTATTGGAATTTATGGGATGCAATGCCGACTCCACTCAAAGTTAAGCTGATTTGTTGTAGCCCTTGTACAAGTATTTGTTGGTCTTTGTTGCCTTTTATTGCCTGATGTGACATTTGTACACGATGATGATGCTTCAGTCA